CTTGAGAGTTAGGAATAAAATTTATAGAAGTTTTGACAACCCAAACCAACTTATTTCTCATGTAATAATTTCTTCTATGATAGCACAAATGAGAAATATGTCCTACTTTACCACAATAATTACATACAATGTGTTTGAAAGATAACTTGTTCTTTTCAAGCTCAACTTTCAAATTTTTGGCTTTCTTGCTATTATCATTATCCAAGCTATTATTTCCATAATCATTTATAGGTTTTCCATGTACAAAAGTATCATTATTATTTTCATTTTCAAACATGGAATATGAGCATGTAAGATTATAATTATGCAAAGTTTGGATGATAATTCCTCAACTTGATTATCAACATCAATGCAATTTTTAAGAATGGTTGAAGGTTCACAATTCAAGGATATGTCCTCTTCTTGAAAATCAGTAAGATTATAATTATGGAAAGTTTGGATGATAATTCCTCAACTTGATTATCAACATCAATGCAATTTTTAAGAATGGTTGAAGGTTCACAATTCAAGGATATGTCCTCTTCTTGAAAATCATATATATTTTTCAAAGATTCAATTTGATTTTCAATGAAGCAAATACTTTGTATAGAAGCCAAATTTCTATTTTTCAAGTTCAACAAGCTATCATTCAAATCATCATATGCACATTGCAAATTATCATATTTAGGACTATAATCAAGGTTTGTATTATTTACCTCAACTTGAATGTCATCATTGTCACAAAGAGGTTTTAAGCTTCTTTGATCACTTTTAATCTCTTCTTGAGTGCATTCATCATCTTTTTCTTCTTCCAATGGATTTTGCTCTTTTTGCTCTTTATATGCATCTTTATGCACAAAATCATCATTGACAAGATAGATAGTAATAAGAGTATCCCATATATCTTTAGAATTCATGCAATGTTTAATCTTAGCATATGCATCATCATATACACTTTTTCTAAGCATTTGTATAGCCTCAAGATTGAAGACAAAACATCTTTTATTGAAATCATTCATGCATTCTTCTATTTTCAATGAAAAACCTCTATCTACAACATGCCACATATAAAGATAAATTGATTGAATAAAAACTTCCATTCTTTTTACCCAATATTCAAAATCCTTACCATCAAAGAATGGTGGTTTATCACATTCAAAGCCTTGCATTTTTTTGTTTGATTTAAAATTAAATTATATTGGAAGCCCCAACAAGGATCTTTAATTCTAGGTGGTTAAACCTCTAATTGAGCACTAAGCTCTGATACCACTTGTTAGAAATGTGGCTTCCATACTCAAGAGGGGGGTGAATTGAGTATTATAAGATTTTCGCAAAAGCCCACTTCTAGTTTCTAAATAATCACTTCAAGTAAACTTTGATATGTGGAAAGCTAATCAATATATTCAGACAATCCATAATATATAATATATCACAATTATATAACTTATACTAGCACATACAAGATATCAAAGAAGCAATTAAAGTTCTACAAATAAAGAATTTAGAGTTTAGAGAATTGCAAACTCAATATATCCTGGTCGGTCACCACTACTTGTGACCTACGTCCAGACTGAAGCCGCTCGATCAACTCTTTCACTAATGGTCAAGCTTCACGAGTGCTTGACAAACCTTTACAATCTTCCAAGACTTCGGGTTCTTGGATACCTTTCAATCTCCAAGTTTACGGGTACTTGGTAACCTTACAATTCACTCTAAAATTACTTAGGTATTTGGCCACCTCTCAAACAATGGGTCTCACAACCCTTTCAACTCAAGAATACAAGAAAGGAAATATTTAGAAATGAATATACACTCTCAAAGTGTGGATATACAACTTGAAGCACTCTGGGTATATGAATTTTCAAGATATGAGCTCAAATATGTTTGATCTTTTAAAGATATAAAAAAATATGCAAATGATAGTGTAGAAGCTCTCAAAGTATACTTAATATGTGTAGAAATTATGTCCAATGTTTTTGAGTAATTGGGAATACATATATAGTGTTTTCATTGAAAACTAGCCGTTTATAGCCGTTGGGAAACTAGCCGTTTATAGCCGTTGGGATCTCATTTGATAAACTAGCCGTTTTATAGCTGTTTATAGTCGTTGGGATCACTTTTGAAAACTAGTCGTTTTATAGCCATTGGGATCTGTTTCCCAACTTGACAAAAATAACATTGTTTCGTATTTTGGCTATAATTTGAGTTATACATGTCGGCTTGATGTGATCTTGGTCTCGTTGGAAAGATAAAATATATATCTACAATTTTTATGAAGAACACAAAATCCAAATCCATCATCTTAGATACGAAAAATTGTATGGAAGACAGAAGCGAAATTAAGCAACAAATTTTAAGTTCAAATGTGTTCTAGCTTGCTTCCAACTACTTTTTGTGAAAGATCTTGACTTGATAAATATGTTTTGAAGTTATAAAATATGTCAAGGATCTTTTCCATGAATTTTTCAAATTTCTTTCAAGTATATAAAGTTTAATTATGCAATTTGAAAAACACGTTTAATTTGAGAAAAACTTTGAGCTCATGCAATGCAATTTATCATATACCCTCACATATATTCTAAGTCCTAAAGATATATTCTGAATATGATTTTAGACTTAGCTTCATGTCTTGTGTCTTGGATCTTTATCTGAACTTGAGGTTTTGACTTGTTGAATATGACAATACTTGACACTTTGTTGGTTTTGATCATTTGTCACCATGGGTATGATATTGAGCTTCTCTTAGATGTTGTTCATGATTAGTTGTCTTTGATCTTGATGTTGCTCTTCTAATTATTCCTTGTTGCTCTTGATCCAATGATCTTGCCACTTTGATATGACATCGCTCTTCTTGTATGGCTACATCATACATTTTAAATATCCACATATGGTTGATGCTTTTTGCTCTTGATCAATACTCTTATCTTTTTGTTGTTGCAACTTTATTATCATCAAAACATACCTTGTATCTACACTATTACCAGCCCCATAACATATCCTGCTCTTATCCTATTCTGTCCACCAAATGGGCGCTAAGGTTTTAGGTTGAATTGGTTGAGCCGTAAGCCCCAGTTAGGCCAGTTGATCCTTTTACATCCACAGGGAATATCCACATTATAACGGGGCTAGTTCTCCTAAAGAAATTCTTTTACATTCACAAGAACTTGAATCCAAGACCTTGCTTAACCGGAATCAAGTATGTATCACTTGATAGTTACCTTTTTTTAATTCTTTTGAAATATTTAGCAAAAAAATTGCGTCATTTTGTATTGAAAATTTTTAAATCATTTCAAATAAACTTTTACATTAAATCATTTAGAAAAAATAAAATTAACGCAATTGGGTTGGCTTAGATTCAATTTGGTTGAAAAAATGGAAATCTGATACCTAAATCAGTTGAACTTGATCGAGTTGGTTCAAATTAAATTAAAATCAGGTATTGGATCTGGATTCTCTCATATGAAAAAAAAACATGATATGGTCATATATGGTATCATAATCATGTAAAGGTAGATCAACGGTAATAAAGGAAGAGAGAGAAAGTATTATAATAGGAAGTTATAAAATCATAACCGTTGATTTATTTTTCTATGATTGTGATATTCTCACATTACCATGTCATGTTCTTTTCTACATAAGAGGATCCATTTTCAAATTAGGTTACCAACAAAAAAATTAAAATCAATTCAACTACCTATAACTAGAGGTATAAATAGGTCACATAACAAATCAGAGCCTATGACCTATTATATCTAATAAAATAAAACAGACCCAAGCTTTTACAAAAAAAAAAAACCTTTTTAAAAAACAGACAGTAGGCTTTGTTTTATAAAATTCGATCTATAAACCTACAAGTTGGCCTATATATATCATATTACTTATTTTAAATAAAATAAGATAAAATAATTATTTTAATAATTTTAAATAATAAAGTAATATTATTTTATTTATATTTAATAATTAAATATTTAGTAAGATTTAATAGGCTTATGCCAAATCTTTTAATTTTTTTTTTAATATAAACTAGGTCAGACTTATAATTTTAGTTAGCACAAAATTAACATATCAGACTAGGCCTAAAGTATTTTGTATATACTTAACTTTTTAAGAGAGGATATTTTGACTACCAAAAGTTTTCACTACCACCTTACTACCTATCTAATCACCATTGGATTAACATTTTCTCTCTTTTCAAAAACTTTTTAACATTCTCTCTCTTTGATCCAATGGTGATTTGATAGGTAGTAAGGTGATAGTGAACACTTTTGGTAGTCAAAATATCCCCCCTCTAACTTTTTTAAGCGAAAGTCTAACATGGCTCAAACCTATTCACATGACTGCCTATAACCTAACCCGTATTTTAGGAATTATGGGTCATATCATACTCATAATACCCCTACGATTAATGAGTTTTTCTTAATATTGTACAAGTAACACACTTGGTAAAATCTTTCAGTTTATTATATAACTCAAATTAAACCCTTTTATATAACTCATAATACCCCTATGGGTTTAACTTTAGTGGGTCGTTCTTTGGACTAAAAAATAAAAAGTTAAAATACCTAATTTGACAAATCATTTATATCGTCTTACTTAGTTAAAGCTTCGGTACCTATATTTTATTCTTAATTATCTAATATTCTAATAAAATGTCTGGCATATATATGAATAGATTGCTAATAGCATAATAAGGCTTTGTGGTGAGGCCACATCATAGACTTTCTATTTAATTTGTCGAACAATTTGTTTTTCTCGTTTATGTTTGTCCTTTTCTGCATGAAATTATTGGTAATATCCATTTGCGAGGTATACACGTATTCGCTCTTCTTGAAAGCATGGCCTATGATGCTGCCAAGTCTCACAAGGTTTCCACCACGACAAGACACAAAAATCCTAGGAGAGCCGAAAAAAGTCAGGGGCAAAACTGTCACAATAATGGCAGGCTTCTTAATAATACAAAATTGCCACTGGACTTGATATTTAATCACTTCACAGAGACACAATCACACAACACAAAAGCAATGGAGGAAACTAGTGGCGGTGATCACGTGAGTGCAGGTTCAGGGGAGCGGAGGATGAAGATGAAGGTGATGGTGGCTATAGACGAGAGTGACGGGAGTTTCTATGCTCTTAAGTGGGCCCTGGATAACCTATTCCCCACCATAGCTACTGTGGGAACAGCAACACCTGATAATGACGGCATGGTGTTTCTGGTTCATGTTGAGTCCGTATTCCACACCCATGTGTACCCGGTTGGACCCGCTGGAGCTGGTAATGCTAAATTTAAGTTTGCATATAATTTTCATTGATTATTATTATTATTATGTTTCTCATATTGCTCGTGCAACATATAAATATATATGCAAGACTCAATTAAATGAGAAGAGAAAGAAAAAAAGTGAATATTATTTATTATTTTATGTTACATAAAATAATTTATTTTATTCAACATTAGAAATATATTCTCATTACATACAAAAAAAAAAAGAAAAGAAATATATTCTCATTATTATTTTATATTTGAAGATTATACTGAAATAATTTAAGATTTTAAATGAATAATAATTTGACTCTAGATCATAGCGGTATATTTTATTTTATTTTATTTTTATGCATAGCGGTAAATTAAAAAATAAATAAAATAAAGAAGCAAATTTGGTTTCCCATTGAATAATCTTTGTAAAGTTGGCGTTTTTAATTTGTAAATATTTTTAATTTTTCAACGTGGTTACGGGAATGATATGCTTTTGTGTGTTTTAAGATACGAGATTAATGTTTCTTAGGAGATAATTTTATATCTCCTCCTACCTATATTAAATGTGGAGTTTATATTCTTTTTCTCTTCTCTATACATTGCTTACATGACTCTATATATATCTTTATGTGTAAAATTATCTCATGTCAAAAATATTAATTTGTGATCCGGCTTCGACAGCGTCTTATCCACCATCCACAGTGGTGGATTCGGTAAAGAAAGCCCAAGAGGAAAGATCTGCTGCTATTCTCTCACGGGCATTGCAAATGTGCAAGGATGCGCAGGTAAACGTATAATGCATGTTTACCACATTAACAAAATTCATTCCTATTTCTTAAATTAGGAGCTTTGTTATTTGTAGGGATGGCAATATGGGCGAGCCCGCCCCGGCCCGTCACTAGCCCGTCCCGGTCCGTTATGACAAAATGGGTTGAATTGAGTAACCCGGCCCGTTTTATGAGTGGGCTGGCGGGCTACGGGCCAGCCCGCCTAAAATAAAAAAAATATAAAAATAAAATATAAAAAATTAAATTCTGCATAAAATCACATAAAAAAATTTGCATAAAAGCATACAAAAATCTGCATAAAATCCTAATGTTCTTATGAAACCAAGAAGATCAGTGTTTAATAATCTGCATATAAATATGCATCTTTCAATCCAAAAATAATTAAAAAAAAAAATCATATCAGGATAAAATAGAGTAACAAAGTGTTGTATGAGCAGTCCACAACAATTCAAAAAAGTCACTCGCATGCAGAGAAATCTAAGATACGGCCTAAAAAAAAAAAAAAAGACTTGGCGGGCTGACTTATATGAGCTGGCGGGTTTGGCGGGTCGGGTTTGGCGGGCTGGTGGGTTGAAAAACTCAACCCAGCCCGCCTCATTTGTCAAGCGGGGCGGGCCAACCCGGCGGGCTCAGCCCATTTTGCCGGTAAGAAGAGTGGGTTAGAATATGTGTTTTTCTTCTTTTATTATCTAAAAGAGAAGAAATGTAAAAATGATATAACGAAGATTTTGTGTAAATGGGGATGAACTTATATAACTCTTTTTTTTTTTTTTTTACTTTAGAGGTTACAAGGAATTTAACACAACACCGTATACTACACACACTCCTAACACACACCTCACACCACTAGACTAACCCTAGCGGTGAACTTATATAACTCTTACGGTTGATATATCTAATAAATTAATAATTAATAGATAAAAGTAGTTAAATATAAATACAAATTTACACAATTCACGTATTTAATAAATAATAAATTAAAGCGATTAAATACAAATAAAAATTTATACGGTATATCGCATTAAATAGTGTTATTGATTAAGTTAGAAGATATTTTACTTGAAAGTAATTTAATTTCTTAATATACTTTTTTTTAAATGACATGTATTATTTATATTTTACTCAGTCTGCAAATTGGTCATAAATGGATCGGTTCACAGGCTGATCTACCAACTCGGTAGTTATTTTTTTTATTTTTACTTTTCTTTTAATTTTTAGGATTTTTTTAAAAATATATATATATTTAAAAACTTTTATCTCTCTAGATATCTGGGTCCTTGGAGTTATTTATAGATGGTAGGTCTTTAAAAAATAATTAATCTTTCTCATATTGGAAATATAATTTTATCTCTTACATATATATAAAAATGTGTAGAGTTCATATAAGATTATGTGAAGAAAAAAGAGAAAAAAATAAAATATGAATATTAAAATATTTATATATACATATAAGATAAAATTATCTCTTATAGTATAAGAAATATAATATAAGAAATATTAATAGCTCACGTGTTAGTGGTGACTCAATTCAGTTTTTTTTTTTTGTAGAGTCAACTCAGTTTAACCCGAGGGTTAAACTAGACCAGATTCAGATTCACGTTTATAAACTTGCAAATTATTCAGTTTGCCCATTGAATGGGTCAACCAGTGAATAGCAATTTTGTTAATTTTTTTTTTTTTGTAAGTTGCAATTTTGTTAATCTAGTTATATATACCATTGAATGGGTCAACCCGTGAATAGCAATTTTGTTTATATATATATATATATATATATATATATATATATATATATATATATATATCATGGATTTAATATTTGTCTTTTAAATATATATATATATATATATATATCATGGATTTAATATTTGTCTTTTAAAATTAAAGATATAGAATTATCCTTTTTTTAAAAAAAAAGAATTATCCTCTTTAAAGTAAGAGAAAAAGATATATAATAAAAATTATGGGAGAGAAAATAGAAGATTTTTTTATTTAAATTTTAAATAAAAAATATTAATTTTAACTAAAATGACCCTTTTTAAAAGAAAAAGCATTTTCCCCTCCCTTTTTATAGGATGTTATACACTTATACCTATATTTTTTTCATATCTATTTTATTTATTATTTTCCAATCTCAACTAACGTTAATCCTTCTGAAAAAAAAAATGTATAGATATACTATCTTATCATTTTTTTTTAACGATGACATGTGTTATTTTTTGTTTTTTGTTTTAAATTTATTTTTTCATATTTAATTATGGATATTGTTTTTTCTTAAACTTGGAATACATTCCGTCTTTACTTGTATTCCGTCTTTAATCTCTCTCTTTTTTTATTCTAACTGAATTTAAAAAGAATCCATGCAATGTAATACTGATCACTAGTTGGCGTATATGTATAAAGTATTGTTCCCGAATCCAGATATTCAGAAGGCACATATGCTATTTTGTTTTTGTTTTTTCATATTTGTCCCGTGAATTACATACCTAGTTTCTATAAAACAGAACGTAAGATTATTTAAGTTATATGATAAAGCTACTAGTTTTGGTCAACGCATGTACTTTATGTATCCTTAATAGAGCTTTAAGGGTAAGGACCCAACAGAGACGCAAGAAAATGAAAAGAAGAATTCTCAATGTGTTTATTGAGAATGAATGATCTTTGTGTTACAAAGGATCCCTTATATCAATCCTCTTCTAACTCCCCACGTGCATTCCCTTACAATGGACACATAGACCCAACTAACTAACTAACTGCCACCTCACTAGCCAATACCTAGCCTTTTACTATTATACCCCCAATATGATACCGATATACACAAGTGTACAATTAAACATCTACTACAAAGTCCTTAACCCACATAGGGGCTCCTCTACTTCTTTTGCCCGTAACAATACCCCTGTCTACCAAATCAACATTGTCCTCAAGGTTCAGCTGGGGATAATGCAGCTTGAGTTCCTCTTCATCCTCCCAAGAAGAATCTTCTGGCAAAGAATGAGACCATTGAACCAACCATTGAGTACCGGATTTATGTTTATCAGATACCGTCCGAGACATTAAAACAACTACTTGCTCTTGGACAGGAAAATTGCTATAGCTAAATTCAGGTACAGTTGGAACTAAATCAGGATGATGTCCCTTAAAAGGTTTCAGGACCGAAACATGAAATGAAGAATGTATCCTACACCCCTCTGGTAGTTGCAGCTGGTAAGCAACTGGGCTCAATACTCTAATAATGGGAAAGGGACCAAAGTACCTTTTAGCTAGCTTCTGATTCGGTCGTCTTGCAGCTGTCAATTGCCTATAAGGTTGGAGTTTCACCAACACCAAATCACCCACTGCCAGGGAGATATCTTTTCTATGTTTATCTGCCTGGATTTTCATGCGATTTTGAGCTCTTGCAAGTGATGTTTGAGTTGAGCAAGTAGCTCATTGCGATGGACTAAGGCTGTATCAACTGCTTCAACCTTGACTGATCCTCTAGGATAATAAGGAATCAACTGAGGCAGTTTCCCATACAAAGCCTGAAAGGGACTCATACCAATTGAAGCATGGTGAGCTGTATTATAATGCAACTCAGCCCAACTCAAAAAGGAGGACCACTTGTGATTCTCATCAGAACAGAAAGCTCTAAGATATTGTTCTAAATATCTGTTAAGCTGTACTTGTGTGCAACTTAGTCCCACTCATCAGATTGAGGGTGGTAAGCTGTACTTGTGTGCAACTTAGTCCCACTCATCTTAAACAACAATGTCCAAAAATGACTGAGGAATACACTGTCCCTGTCCGAAACAATAGACTTTGGATATCCATGCAATTTCACCACCATGTCACAGAACAAGGATGCTACTTTGGCTGATGTGTAAGGATTGGCCAAAGCTCCAAAGTGTGCATACTTTGAGAGGCGATCAACCACTACAAGGATGACTGAAAACCCACGAGACAAAGGCAGACCAGTTATGAAATCCATGGTAAGATCTTCAAACACCCCAACTGGAATGGCCAAGGGTTGCAGCAAGCCAAAAGGAGGAGTGGTTGCTGTTTTCACCATTTGGCAGATGGGGCAATTCCCAATGAATGCAGTTACCTCCCTTCGCATATGATACCAAAAAAAAGATGCTGACAGTCTAAGTAATGTGCGGGTCACACCAGCATGCCCCCCAATTGGAGTAGCATGTGCTTCACTAATCAAAATTTGCTTTAAATCAGATTTGGAACTTAACATCAAACGATCCTTGTAATACAGAATTCCAGCTTTTGCTGTAATTTTAGGATCAACAAACTCCCCACTGCTCAACTTGTTATGAAAGGCAATCAGTTCTGGATCAGAAGCATTTCCCCCCTTTATTTGCTCAATGATATCAAATTTAATTTCTGAAATCAATGTCATAACAGTACCTGCTCTCTCTTCCTCATACATTCTAGATAAGGAGTCAGCTACAACATTGGAACTACCAGGCTTATATTCAATGACAAAATCATATCCCATCAATTTACAAGCATACCTTTGTTGTTCCAAAGTCTGAACTGTTTGGGAAAGTAATTCCTTCAAACTCCTATGGTCAGTCTTGATAACAAACTTGGAACCAAGCAAGTAATGCCTCCACTTTTTCACTGCTTCAGCTACAGCAAAGAGTTCCCTGACATATGTTGAAGCCAACTGCATTCGAGGTCCCAATTTCTTGCTGAAAAAAGATATGGGCCTATTGTTTTGTAATAAAACAGCTCCAATGCCAATTGATGAGGCATCAGTCTCCACCACAAAAGGAAGAGAAAAATCAGGTAAGATAAGGACAGGGGTTGAAGTCATGGTTTCTTTGAGTAATTGAAAAGCTCTATCTGCCTCCTCAGTCCACTTGAAGGACTCACTTTTAAGCAATTCCGTTAAAGGGGCTGCCAATGTGGCATAGTGACAGATGAATCTTCGATAGTAGCCCGTAAGTCCAATAAAACCTCTTAACTGTTTCACATTCTTTGGTTTGGGCCAATCCATCATAGCACTAATCTTCTTAGGATCTGCCTTGACCCCATCTCCTGAAACAAGGTGCCCCAAATAATCAATTTCTAACAAAGCAAATCCACATTTATTAAGTTTAACCTTAAACTGGTTCTACTGCAAACACTCCAAAGCCATCTGCAAGTGAAGCAAGTGTTCCTCAAAAGAGACACTATAGATCAGTATGTCATCGAAAATACTATGATAAATCGTCTCAAATAAGGTCTAAACATCTGGTTCATTGTCGATTGGAATGTAGAAAGAGCATTGGTTAAGCCAAATGGCATCACCAAAAACTCATAATGGCCATCATGAGTTCTAAAGGCTGTCTTGGAAGTGTCTTGAGGCTGCAACCTTATTTGATGATAGCCACTCCTTAAATCTAACTTGGAGAACACACTAGCCCCCTTAATGAACCCAGAAGCCAACAGATCTGCCACCTGCTTCTCAATTTCGGATTTTTGGTGATGGGCATACCTATAAGGTCTTATGTTAACTGGTGTTGACCCTTCTGTCAAATGGACAGCATGATCATATTCTCTAGAGGGAGGTAGACCCTGAGGTATTGTGAAAACCTCTTGATAGTGGACCAATATGTCCCACACAGCTGAAGGAATTGTATCCTGCACAGATAATAGTTCTGTTATGGCATTGGTTGGGTTGGCAACCATGACAGTGTTAGTTGCAGGTACCAATGTAGACAACACAAAACATTCAGCAATTGAATCCTCCTCTTTTCCTCCTTGCCCCTTCAATAGGATTCTCTGATTGTTCTAATTGAATTCCATAGACAAATCACTATAATCATGAATGACTCTTCCCAAGGAACTCAACCACATGATGCCCAGAATAATTCCCAACCCAGTCAAATCAATGATCCATAAATCGACAACAAAATCATGCCCTTGAATGTTCAACACAATAGCTGGGCATTTTCTGTCACATACTAAAAAGTCTCCATTTCCCAAAAGCACTCTCATTTTAGGTATTTTAACCATAGGCAAACCCAAACTAATAGCCAAATCTTTCTGCACAAAGTTATGTGAGCTCCCAGAATCAATGAGAATAGGAACTAATAGTCCATTCAACCGAATTTGAAACTGCAATGCTCTTGGATTCTGGTCACTGGCCATGGAATGAAGTGCTGCATCCATGTGATGTAATTCTGACTCCCTAGACTCCTGTTGAAGCTTCTCTGGTTGCCAAACTATGTTTTCCTCAGTTTCCTCCACCTCTTCCTCCGAATTCCCCACCATAAACAACATTCTCCCTTTACAAACATGCTTGGAATTCCACTTCTCATCGCACATATAACACAACCCCAAATCCCTTCTCTTTTGCAAATAGTCATTAGTCACTCTCCTACTAGAGGCTGGAGGTGGTAAGGCCAAAACACTCGGTTTATGGGATGGCAGATTAGATGGTAGAGCTGGTAAACTCGATTTGTTGTGGGAAACAAATGGAGTATTGGAATTAAGTGGTTCAACAAAAAGTGGTTTAGAAAAAAAATTCTTATTAACAGAAGACAGAGACACACGAAGTTCTGTATAGTGGGCTTCATATGTCAAGGCTAATTGCATTGCTTGATGCAATGAAGTTGGTGTATGTAATTGGATGGCTCTCCGCAAATCAGCATGTAATCCGGACACAAAGAAGCTCATCAAAACTTCATCACAGAATTCAGTTACCTGATTAATCAATGCTTCAAAACGTCTGATGTAATCATCAAGAGCTCCCTCTTGAGTTAATTTCGATAACACACCTCTGAGATCAGTGTATCTGGTACCACCAAAACGTTGCTTAACTGCAACCTTGAAATGCTCCCATGTTTGGATTGTGTTCCCACTAAACAACCATTGGAACCATGGTGCCGCCATTCCTTCCATCTTCATACCTGCCAATCGAACTTTGAGAGGCTCTGGAATCTGGTGCAACCCAAAGTACAGCTCCGTTCTGAAAATCCAACTAACTGGATCCCTTCCATCAAATGAAGGCGATTCCATTTTAACAGATCGCATGACATTACGCGAATCATTAGGGTCGAATCGAAATTGATTCTGCCCTGAAGATTCAATGTTTCCCCCAACTGGATTGGTTCTTGTACCCCCTTGATCACCTAAACGATTCTCGATTCCTACCATCGCAGCATTGATTTGTTGAAGCTGATTGGTGACAGTGACAAACTGTGTCTGATGATCCACATATCGCTGTTGCATGTCGTCCAAACTTCTATCAACACGCGCCTGAAAGGAACCCAATTCCTCCGCTAGCTCCTGAAGTCTCATCTTCAACCAACGTGAGTTCACAATATGAAAGCACCAATGTTAAGGGTAAGGACCCAACAGAGACGCAAGAAAATGAAAAGAAGAATTCTCAATGTGTTTATTCAGAATGAATGATCTTTGTGTTACAAAGGACCCCTTATACCAATCCTCTTCTAACTCCCCACGTGCATTCCCTTACAATGGACACATAGACCCAACTAACTAACTAACTGCCACCTCACTAGCCAATACCTAGCCTTTTACTATTATACCCCCAATATGACACTGATATACACAAGTGTACAATTTAACATCTACTACAAAGTCCTTAACCCACGTAGGGGCTCCTCTACTTCTTTTGCCCGTAACATAGAGACACTAGGGAAATCATTTCTAAAGCCAAACCTGATGACATTATTGTTAAATGATGCAGTTGAAAGCAGAAAGTGTCATTCTTCATGGAGACCCAAGGGAAATGATTTGTGAAGCAGCAGAGCAAATGCAAGTTAATCTCCTAATCATGGGTAGCCGTGGCCTTGGCACGCTCAAAAGGTTAGTGTGTTAGTCTTACGATGATAATATATACATAAATATATATTGAAATCTCTGGCCTTTTGATTCATTAACTTACTTGTTTACTTTTTTTTGACAAATTATTTATCAATCTAATTTTGCAGACTTAAATATATATGTGGGTTATGTGCATTTTTGCAACGCGTGACACACTGTAGATGCACATTAGATTTTGCACAAGTCAAGCAATCAAATGTTATGATGTGGGATTTGAACATGCATATTTTTATATTAGATTGATAATTTATTTAGCTTTTGAATCAATAAAGAAAAATATTTCCGTTAGCTTAAAAGCCAAAATTTCTTTGAAATTTCTTTACTTGTGTTTTTATTCAATCAAATGCAAGCAATTAATTGTTGGGATGTGAAGTGATTTATTAGTATATATAGTATTTATTATGATTTCAATTCGATAAATGGATGATTCTACATATACATTTGGTGGCAGGACATTTCTTGGAAGTGTAAGCGACTATTGTGTACATCATGCAAAAACACCTATCCTTATTGCGAAACCACCAGAGGAGCACAATAAAAAGCAGTGACTGCAGTTTTTCTGCTATGTTTAAGAACGTCTTTCCAATGGAAGAGTGCGGAATATAATTTATGTATTTTAATGTCCTTTTCTCTAAGAAGCTTGTGTTTTTTTAATACTTATTGTAACAAGTAACAACTATATAATAATAAATGTTAAGAGATTTACTTGAGTACTACTGTTGCTTTTTCAATTCCTTTTGCTTTTGGATTTCCTTGAGTTATTTTACCATCCACGCACACATATATATATATATATATATATATATATATATATATATATATATATATCTATATATATGGATTAGGATCATTTTACACTCATTTTTTAATAATGTGAGCCATTGGATACAAGTAGATCAATGGTCAAGATTGAGTGTAAGTTCTAATTCTTACACCGGTGTAAGATGATCCTGCCCCTATATATATATATATATATATATATATGACTTATCGTTTCTCAAACTGTTTGAGATAATTTTATTTTCGGTCACTAAATTATAATCGTACAAAGATGGATTAATGGTGATAAAGGAAGAGAAAGAAAAAGAGAATCATAACCATTCAAAGGAGATTCAATTAATATAAAGAAATATATAAACAAAATGATGTAGTTTTTGGAGAACCGAAGATAAATACATCTAAAGCAGTTTGAGAAATATTTTTCTCATATATATATTTGCTGGAAAGTATTTGAATACTTTGCTGGAAACAAAGTATTCGATTACTAGTTAAGAAAGTATTTGAATACTTTCTTAACAGTAACTGAAAATTGCAGCATTTTGAGTTCCAAAGCATTTCAACTTGCCTCCAACCATTTTTAATGCAATACCTTGACTTGATAAATAGATTTTGAAGTTATAAAACTTGTCAAAGTTCTTTTCATGAGTTTTTCAAATTTCTTTCAAGTGTTTGAAGTCATGGATAATGTATACATATAGATAAGTATTCTTTGAGCTCTTTCATTCAATATTAATCAATTACCTTTACAATAGGTCTAAGTCCTATAGATGTATTACTTGTAAGTTCTATGACTTAGGTACTTCCGTTCTAGCTTGATTATTGATCTCTCTTTGGACTTGGTTATGTGTCTTGATGGTTTTGAATCCATTGACTTGTTGAATTGCTTCTTTATACTTATTTTTTATTGTTGTGAGTTGTATCACTCTTGAGGTCTCTTCCAATTTTCATCAAAACTATTGTATTATTGAAATCTTCATTTTGAGTACATTGGTTCCATACTATCTCCTTCCAAGCATGGGTTTTTCTCCCTCAAGACCCAAGCTTTCAAGTGTTTACAAGGTTTGAAAGGTGAAATGATGAAAAAAAGTAGTGTCTTTCATGAGGGAACAAGAGTTCCCTTGAAGAAGAGAGAGAGATGGCAGCCAGTGAGTGTTTAGAGGCGTTTTCTAGGGTTTAGGAAAACGGGAAAATGATGTGCAAGGTTAGAGAAATGTGGTTTTAGTCACTTCAGTGGGTTCCTCTAACCTTATCATGCATGTATTCACTTAATCCACTCATTAACTTTTTTCTTAACTTAAGTTCGGCATCTCTTATTATTTTTAGCTCACTAACATTTATGAATAATGATTATTAATTTATTTCTAAGCTTCCAGTTAATTTCGCTGGTACATATTTTTACCGCAAAATACACAATATTCTCACTTTTGCACTAAAAGTGATTTAGTTTTAAATACTTGGAATTTCCTACTAAGATTATCATAAATAATTTGTAGTCATTTTAACTCCATAAAATTCATTGAATAATAATCGTACATTATCTTCAAGTTTTGGGTAGTATTAGCCCCGGCACCCGGGCATAGTTTAGGCCCAAAAGGGAAGCTCAAATTAAATGAAGTAACGCGATTGGGCCGACATTTGAATCAGACCTTTGCTCCCCAGCTGTCTGATTGAGCTTTCGAACTGTCGGGCTGGAGGGGAAACTATTATGGACTAGATCCATATCTCAACAAACTCACTAGTAAATGATCAAGGGGCATATCTCAACAAGCTGATCAGTAGAGGATTGGATAAACTCTCTATCGCAACAACCTAATCAAAGATGCTAACAACATGGAGGCATTCAAGGCCTGAGCCCAAGATTGTAAACTCTATAAATAAAGGCTAAAGACCCCAGGTACATACTTTTGAACCTTTTTTTAGTACAAGAAGGGCCAAAGCCCCATGAACCTATTTTACTTCTAGCATAATTGTGCACACACACCATGCTCTAGCTATTGCCGTGTTATACAAGTATACAGTGATCCATACTCCCATACAGTATCTCTCTCATAGACATCCGTGAATGTATCGATCCAACATACAATTAACACCCATTGGGTGTACATTCACAGTTCACCCGAACCGAACACAAACAATACGATGGGAAAGGATCATGTGGTATTTAACATGATTAGCATGAGAATTTTATTTTTTTTATGAACAAATTAATAGTTACAAGAGATAAGAAAAAAATATTAAGATAAAAAGGAAAAAAAAATTAATGTTTCTGTTTTTACTGCATAGAAATTTTCTCGACTACTTTCACATAAAAATGCATGAGTCTCATTGTTAAAAGAAGAGGGAGAAAAGATCTATGAGGTTCAATCATTTTTATGTGAAGAAAACCTTTAATGCAACAAATGTAGGTACATCTATACTAAAAGGAAAAAGTTTTTTAGATTTAAAAGGAATTAAATAAAGAAGTACATGTTAGAATGGAAGAAAAAAAATTCCATTTTTAGTAAAAGAGAGTACCTAACTCGGTACTTCAGTAGTATTAAAGAAATTTCTTTTTATGTGAATGTGACAGAGAAATTTCAGAAAAAAAATTTATTGGTCTACCTATTGATAATTTAAATTATGTAATATAATATTGTGATATTAATTAACAACTCATTCCGTTTCCACATAATCATTTTTCCTGTCTCCCGAAATTTCACAGTCATATAACTAGTAAATCTCTGGAACATTTCAAATTATTCCAACTAAACTTTTATTAAATTTATTAAAAAAAAAGTTAAAAGCCTACTGCCATTAAATATAATCCTTAAAAAAATAATTATATATATTCATGATGCGGTTAGAACATTCCATTTTTCTATATAATTTGTTTATTTTCGTAATATTGTGTATTTTTGGCATGAAATATTGGTAAAATCTGCATGCAAGGTTACACGTATTCACTCTTTCAAACACTTGCGCACCCCCTCTGGCTGCCAGGTCTCAAACGTTTTCACACGAAATGTCGCAAAAATCATGAACAAGACAAAGATTATTAGGGTCAAAATGGTAATTACGACAATCGGTTGCATGCACGCGCACGCGTGTTGATGACAGAATAGAGAGAAGAAAAGCAGGAGTCGTAAATGATGGAAATGAATGTCATTGTTGTTAACGGTGGTGGTGACTTATCAAGTAAGTGCGGGTGGGTGCAGGAAGAAAATGAAGATGAAGGTGATGGTGGCAATTGACGACAGTGAGGGGAGTTTCTATGCTCTGAAGTGGGTCCTCGATCACCTCTTTACCACGATGGCTTCTGTGGGGACTGCCATACCAGAACCAAACCTTGAGAATGTAGGCATGGTGTTTCTGGTTAATGTGCAGCCCAGATTAGTTGAGTATGGATACCCTGTTGGTCCCGGAGGAACTGGTTTGTTCTAATCCTCACCCTATTATCTAAATATTTGTATGCCCTCAACATTATTATTCCTGATTTTTATTTTCATATAATTCGATATAACTTCCCTCAAATTTTATAAAAAAAATTAGTTATGAACATTATTTCTATTTATTTGGTTGTGTAGATAGTTGTAATCATAAAAAAAAAGTCAGTGTTTTTCCTTTTAAAAGATAAAGTGAATATCTCTTTTGGTCCTCAGCAAATTTCACGATGTCCGTTTTAGTCTTTAGCAAATAAAAAATGCCCATCGTGATCCCTAGGAAATTCAAAATGGACCCATTTAGTTGAAATTGTGGTATCTCACAAATTCAAAAAAGATCCCTATTAGTTCCTAAAAGGACTAAAATGAGTCCATTTTGAATTTTTTAGGGACCACGATGGACCTTTTTATTCGTTAGGAACTAAAACGGACATCGTAAAATTTGCTGAGGACCAAAAATGGTATATACTCTATAAGATATAGAATTATCTGATTTTAAACGAGAGAAAGCCATTAAAAAATAAAAAAGCCATAAAAAATGAAAAAAAAAAAATGAAAATCATGAAAGAGAGAGTGGATGATTTTTTTAAAATTTAAATTTAAAATAAAAAAATATTAAATTGTATTTTTTCCTTTTAAAATGACACAATTATATTTTCTATAAAAGGAAAATATTTTTCCCTAAAAAGAATGTAAGTTGTAATTTTATGCTCTTACAAAAATATTTTACCCTCCTACAAAAAATTTCTAGCTCCGCTATGAATATATACATGTTTCCACATATCATTTTACATTTTTCAACGTGCTTATGTTCATGAGAGCGTAAAACTTTCTTGGCAAAATGTGGTTCAAACAAATTGTTGGCTACTATGAACAGCAATTTATGCCTCTTCAGCGGCAGAGAATCACGTAAGGAAAAACCAGGAAGAAAGATCTGCTGCCACATTCTCTCGGGCAATGCAGATGTGCAAAGAAAAGCATGTAATTCTCATATATGCCTTTTATATAAAAACTTTATATGTTTTCAGTTTTTACTGCAATAATAGTAACATATGCAGGTGAAAGCAGAAACTATCTTTCTCACTGGAGAGCCAAGAGAAATGATTTGTCAAGCTGCAGAGGAAAATCAGGTCGATCTCCTAGTTATGGGTAGCCGTGGTCTTGGCACTCTTTCAAGGTACTGTCTTCCACTTCCACAATTCTAAAGCTAGAGCATCTTATGCTAAGATAGAACTTCAAAATTTCAAAATTCCAAGTAATGTTATCAGAATTCAAGTGTGAATGGTGAAGTTAAGGGTTGGTTACGAATTGATTAGTCCAATATTAGTCCAATAATTATTTGACTGGATCACTCACGGTTAAACCTGTGCTACTATTGAATGCTACTTGGGGGACAGTTTACGAGATGCACTGGTGCTTTAGAGGAGACCAGGGGTACCTCCAAGGCACTCTGACGCTCAAATTAATAACAATTCAAGATGTTAAGTATTGATGAAAAGATTATTATGCCTCTGTATTTATAGTAGACGAGTGTCTTACTTATGTCGTCTTAATATGACGGTCTTAATATGGCGGTGCTCATTTTTATTGGTGGAGAGTAATCATCTTCTCAGGCTAATCTCCGGGCGAGATGCTTATTGTCAGGCTAAACCCTTGTAGAAGTTTGCAACATGCAAGTGCTTGTTCTCATGCCATTGATTGGTATGGGAGTTAGGATTCTTTTTGGGTCTATTGGGCCTTCTATTGGTTGGATTATACTCTTTACATGGGAAGGTCCAGATAATGAATGAATTAAGTGAAGATTATATGAATAGGATTTATGATGTGGTGTCTAGATACAATATAAAAAAATAGATGTCTTACAGCTAAAATTTAATTTTCGGTTGAATTAGTTTTTTATATAATATCAAAATTTCTATGATTTGGGATAAAGATGTTATTGACGTTGGATCAAAATTTCTATGGTCCAAGTGGTTTAGAGTTCAATTTTTGCCCCCTTGTGAGTTTAACAAAAATATTTAACTTCAATGTTTCAAACCATAAAAAAATCCTCTTAACGTGAGGAGATGTGATAAGAAATAATATAAAAAAAAATAAAAATAAAAACCTTCGTTTGTTTACAAGTTGCAATAGTATATCTTTTGCAGTGATTAGTGTATGCTTATTGTTTTGATGTCTGGCTTGCAGATTATTTGTAGGAAGTGTAAGTGACTATTGTGTTAAAAACGCAAAAACTCCCGTTCTTATCGTGAAACCACCTATGGAGGATAGCAAGGAGCACTAAGGAAAGTTTCTCATGGTGTGTAAGCGCATCAGATGAATGCGTTAGTATTTAAACACTTTATATATATATATATATATATATATATATATATATATATATATATATATATATATATATACCCTACATGCATTATGCGTACTGTATAATAAGCCAGATTAAGATTCTGCAATCTGATCATTAGCTTGAATATGGAGAAAGACCGTGTAGTTTCAGGGCCTACAAGTTTCTTGAAAGGGAGAAAGTCCTTTATTTTGGTTTTTCTTATTGCATTATTTTTCATAAATCTTTGTGCTATTAAAATTGTATATGTCTCATCATCATTTTGCCATAAAGGATTAGAACCGAATTAAGTGTCGCTTAAAATAATGAGCATGCCTAACTTCATACAGGTGTGGAAGAAAACTGCATCGGTGATTTTTGCCTTTCTTTCAAATCAAAGCAAATCAAGAACATTGACAAACTGTTAATCAATTTATCCCTATCTGTAGATATGAATATTTCTTAAACAGTGCATCACTTATGCAGAAGAAAAAAGCATCCATTTAACTGTATCTGTTCTACCATTCCTTTATGATTTTGCATGAATTCCGTTTATTTTTCTACATTGCTAGCACCGGTGATCTTGTCCTTCTTGTGAACTATAGTCAATTAAGAACATTGACGAAATGGTAATAATTTTTTGCAAATTGAGATGATCATGTTGAAGAAAAGCACTTGGGTTGACCAAACGTTAGATCCCATATTGAAATTTCCCTTAGCAATAGATGTTTTCATTCAGAATCTTGGATTTGGTTAGGTCCAAGATTTACCTCAACTTCCAAATATAAAAAAAGAGAAATTTTGACTGGACCAATGAAACTCATCTCCTAACAATCTTTTACAACTATTTCTCAAAGGGAATTGGGACAACTGACCAGCAAAGTCAAATTACGCTCGTTTTCCTAGAAGCTAAAATTCATGACACAAAAATGTTCGTATTTAATCAGTTAGTCAAGCAGATTAGCTTCCATATCCTCATAGTGGCAGACAAGATCGTCCAATCACCCGACATCAAATCCAACACTACAGCTTCAGACACCTACATCATAAACCAGGTTCCAACTATCATTTTCATATTGGAAAATCTAGAGCCGACCACAACTTTATTCAATACACCTCCGTCGCTATACACATTCCACAACATATACGAGTTGGAATTGCTATTTGGCGAAAAGTATTCAACTTTTTACAGATAAAAAATTAGAGACATCAAAGGCAACCAAAGGAAAAGTACCTTTTTTCCCACCCTCCTAGTCTCGTTCCAGGGTCATAGTTTGTGAACAGCCTAAACTCATTTCCAAGTTTGCTGGAGTGCTGAGGCCTAAAACCACAAGGATGCAAGCCCAGGATCTCAGCTGCTCTTTCTTTCTGCACTTCACCTAAAAGTAATTGTAATACAACAATTTAGAATACCCTTTAGTAATTCTTTAAACTGAGTATCTCATAATGAACATTCTGTAAATTATCATTTTCAGTGCAATGATACTAAACAAAGCAGGATAAGTCCATCGTTACCTGTGAGTAGAAGCAAAAATGACTCTCCAGGTTGCATGAGCAAGGAAATTGTTTCAGCAACTTTCTCCAAGCACTCTTTGCTCTATTACCAAACCAATTAGCTTAGTAAGATCATCAACCTTGTCTTTCAAATTGAAAATAATCTATACTATCATAGTGTTGTAGATAGGTCCCCCACTCGGTGTCCTTTTTGTCTTCCCCAAAAAAAGAACAAAATTGCCATTACAAATTAAATTAGAGAAGCTCGCCAATTACACTCACTCCTATCTTTAAGGAACGTTTCTTTTAAATTATAGTTTTTACACGTTACAGTTTAGAACTAGTTTACTTTAGATTAAAAAGGGAGGAAACAGGTTTGTCATGCCTTATATAAAACTGGATTTTTCTTTAACACTCGCTTCGTGGGTACCTCTTCTAGTAACAAATAATTATCAATATCGTGAGTGATACAGAAATACACTACAAGAGCAAACAGGTGTCTCTAAGCCAGAAGCTGTGAGGAGACAAGAAACAATTTTTAAATATAGCTTCCATTGACATACTGGAAGCCTAAGTATCCATGACATATACAGCTCAACTCAAGGAAAAGAGATATAGACGAGGATATATAAAATATAGCACAGCCTTTGCTTTGCCCAATACATGATAATCATATTGATTAGTGATTACACTCAAACGTACAAGCCTTACAATATCATCTTCATATCACAGTACTGCCGCTACTTTTAATTAGACAAAGTGAAAAAAACACGAGGGAGGAAGCAATTAAACTTAAGAGAAGTCCAACACAATAGATTTGTCATAATAAATCTTAGAAGACCTGGAATCTATGCTTTTGAAATTTATTTGTACACTCCTAAAATAAAGATATGCCCCTTTTAAATCTGCACACATGATAGCATCTGAGCTTTAACTGAATCAAGTTATACATTTCAAACTCTTTGCAACTTGCACCAAAAAATCAATTTTCACAACAAAACACATGAGAATCAATTAATCCTCCACCCACCAAACCATTTAAAGTTTTCTATGAAGTGTAACAATTAACCGAAATGGAAGTGTAGATGGCACCAATTCACAGCAAGTAAGATTTGATTAATAAATTCTTACCAAGTAAGGAGGATCTGCAATCACAACTTTGCATGAATGCTTCAATTCTGATGGTAACTCCTCAGGGTGATTGTAGTCATAAAATGTGTAATCACTTCCGTATTGCTCAAAACGATTGTCATACTCAAGAATTTGCACAGAAACATTAGGATCCATTTTCTGAAAATTGAAGAAATGAAAAAAAAAATGTAACTAAGAAAACAAAAACAAATAGAAGCATATCAAAATAATCAAACCACTTTATTATACAATTAATTATTGCTAACAACGTTACCAAAACAAAATTATTGCTAACAATGAAACAAGAGTTAAACATAAATAAATAAATAAAACTCCAATTTCAGTAGCAGAAATCGAATTAGGAATGAGGAATTACCTTGAGATAAGCATAGAGAGTAGGGCAAGCGATGCAGGCAACGCGAGAATTTACGCCATTGCAGAGAGTGAGAACCTCTTCAGCAACGGTCTTTGCGGTTTCTGCGCTGTACCAGAACTGGCTTAACCTCCAATCCTCGGATACAAGAGCAACATCGGTATCCGCGGCGTTTCCGGCGTGGGAATCGGCGACGGAGTGGCCCTTCTGCTCGGCGAGGAATTCTTTGAGGGCGGCGAGAGCATGAGAACTCAGAACCGGTGCGTCGTCCTTTTCTGACTCACTGAGTCCGTGTACCGAGTTAGGGTTCAGTTCGAGTTGCTCCTCCATTTTCTTAATCTTGTGTGGGGGAGAGTAGGAGAAGAGCTTGTTGGGCACAGTGGCACACAGAGAGGAGCTAGTGTTGTTTGGACTTTGGACCGGGTCTGGTCCAACCGGGATCTAGCCTTTCCGGTTGGGCTTCACAACTGAACCAACCGGTTTAAGCTGAAAAAATTGAATAAACAAAATTGGAAATTGAACTAAGCGTTTTGATTAATTTATTTTTTATTTTAAATAACTTATAACTCTCAGGCGAAGCCATGTGTTATCTGGGTGTGATATCGACTCGGGCTAAATTTTAACAAATTATACTTATTATGTATAATTATATAATTAGTTATAATTTGACCGGGTTAAAATTGTAATCTGACCCGGATTACAATTTATAATTTGACCGTATCTAAAGCTTAAAATAGTTTTGGTAAAAGATTTGGGTAAGTTGTTGTTATGGACCAGAGGAAGGCCCACGATAGCGAGAAGCCCAAACCAAATCAACCCCGAGGTAATCTCTATAAATAGGGACCAAGGACCACAGGTATGACTGATCTCTCTCACCCTATTTCATTAAGACACGACAGTGCACACATACACACCCCTTCTGGCTAAAGTCATCATATAGAGTGTAGTGATCAGTTGTCCCCAAGATTACCTAGTTCATAGGTATCTAGAGAGAAAGTCCTAGATCCAATATCAAACACCCGACCTTCGGTCGGACATATCTGTCTCAGGCAGAACATTGGCGCCGTCTGTGGGAACTTTTTTCCATTACTACGTGATCGAAAGCCGTAATGGCGAGAAACACAAGAAGTGGATAGCGACAACCATCAAGATTGAATTTCAGGATCAAGCCCATCTCTCCAATTATGGAGAATCCTTTGGATCATCGGCAGATAGATCCAGATGCAGTGCACGTTAGCGATGTGCACTCCGAGTTAGCATCGAACCCGGCCATAAATCAGGACGCCCCGTATGTACAAGGTCTGCAACCAATGGAGGAACAAAGGGTAGAGGCTGAACAGGCACCAATTGAGACAGTGGGTGATTCTCGAGTAACAGATCTGGCTGTCGCGGCGGTACTTCGGAGGATGGAGGAAATAGAGCGAAGGCACGGGCTTGAAAGGGAGGCAGGTGCTAGACAAATGCGATAGCTGGAAGCTCGTATAGGTCGAGCCGTGAACCCGAACCCAGAACGCGGGTCATGAATGACCTACGGATCATCAGCACCCCGGTGAACCCCGATGGAACCCGAACTCAGGCGAGAACAACTGGAGAAGTCGAAAACCGACCTCAAAGAAGCACACTCATCATGAATCACAATCGAGGGCCCGAAGGTGGGAGAAACCCACTAGGGCAGCCGGAAAGGCTGGGAGAGAACCCCCAGGGCCTACAGATTGGAGACGTCCATCCCGGAACCCCAACCCGAACGATGTGTCCGGGGTTTATAGGAGGAAATACCATAGGGGGCAATACAATGATAGCCCCTTCGTGGATGCACCGTATCCGGAGAACCTCAACTTGTCTGAAATCCCGAAGTATGATAGGACGCAGGATCCCCAAGTGCATTTGGATGCCTTTGACACGACTATGTACATTAAGGAGATTGAAGAGCCGTTGATAACCCGGTTATTTGCAACCACGCTGACAGGAACGGCTCAGTCATGATTCTCATCTCTTCCAGCGGGATCCATCAGATCGTTTGAAGAGTTTGGAGGCAGATTCTTGCTGAATTTTGCTACGAGCAAAAAACAACCAAAGTCCGAATTTGCACTAGGAAAAATCAAGCAACAGCCTGGCGAAACCTTGCCGAAATATTTGGACCGCTTCAAATTGGTCGCCTTACAAGTTCCCGGGTTATCTGAGAAAGTTCATTTGCATTTGGTGATTGCTGGATTACATGGGTCCTCTAGGCTGGCACGATCCGTGTACAAAGATCCAGTCCGAACTCTAGTTGAGTTCACTGCACGGTCCAAAAAATATCTGGAGCTCGAACAAATGGAGATTGAAAATGCCGACCCAAGGCAACACCTCGGCCAGGTAGAGAAGCTTGGAAACCGACGTCAAAACGAGTTCCGTGGTAAAAGGCCAGAAGAAAAAGTTCCAGCTAAAGTAAGATTTGATATATATGCACCCCTAAATTCATCCAGGTCCCAAATCTGGAGGGAGGTAGCATCCAGTGAAATGAATAAAGTGGATAGACCACGGCCATTACTAAATCAAGCCAGTCTTGACCAATCCCGATATTGTGCGTTCCATGATGGCCATGGTCACACCACTAATGAATGCTGGGATCTCAGGGACGCAATTGAAAAATATATCAGAGAAGGAAAGTTGCGTCAGTATCTAATAAGGACTCAAGGATGGAAGAATAACAAGAAGAGGAAAGGAGGACGACCATCGAGCCTGCCCCGGGATAAGAAGTTCAGGGATGAGAGCCGAGGTAAGAAGTCGGCCAAAGAAAAGGATGAATTCATAGAACCCGAGTTTGAATGCAACGTTATTAGCGGAGGTTTTAGCGGGAGAGGCGATACCATGAATGCCAGAAGAAAGACTTGAGGGAGGTGCTTTCGATACGAGAGCGGCCTAAGTTTAAAGAAGCTGAACACCGCGACTGTTTTTTAAAAAGGAAGAGCTTGAGGATGTCATGCCGGGGCACGTTGACAGGTTAGTTATCACAGGCACACTGGTCAATTGTAAAGTCAAGAAAATGTTCGTCGACAACGGTATCTGTGCCGACATAATTCTGTGGCAGGCATTCCAGAAAATGAACCTGGATGTGGAAGATTTGAAACCTTGCAACACGGCGTTGATAGCGTTCAATGGCCGTGATACTATCCCTAAAGGATATATTGACTTGAGGCTTACTTTGGGAACGAGGGAGGCTTACAAGTCGGAAAGGATAAGATTCATAGTAGCTGACTTCCTGTCGGAGTATAATGTAATTCTGGGAAGGCCAACTATCCATGATTGGGATATGTTGGTCTCCACCAAGCATCAGAAGCTCAAGATGATTGGTAAGCAGAACACGGTCATCACCATTCATGGAGATCAAAAGAAATCTCGAGACTGTTATTTCAAGTCGGTCAGAGCAATAGGCAGCAACCTTCAGACACCACCCGGGGTGAATCCCAGTAGTAAGCAGGATAACTCCAAGAAGAAGGGAACAACACCGGTAAACATGGTGGAGTTGGACATGAGGGATGAAACTCAGATCCCAAGGCCGGAACCCGATGGGGAGCTGGAGGAGGCATGGATAAGGAACGACTCCTGACAGGCTTCCAGCGGGGGGTTACATGCATGAATGAATCGAATCACCCCCCGAAAGAGAGGGATTCCAGAGATTGTGCTGGTATGGAACGGTACAGTTGGGAATAGCTTATAAGAATTAATTGGTACTACCTATACTAACAATATGCATCTTCTTTTCGATAGCCCGGAACGGAAGAACTCCACAGTTAAGCGTGCTTGACTTGGAGCAATTCTGGGATGGGTGACCTCCTGGGAGGTTTTCCCGGGAAGTGTGCGAGTGAGGAAAAAGCACACTGAAAAGTCTCGTGTTAGTATGTGGGGATAATCGTTGATTCTTGAAGCGGCCAGGTATTACAGTTACAATCACAACAGTTCATTTAAAAATACAAAAAAAATTCTTTTAAAACCATTTACAATTATTCTTGCACTTATGAAAACATCTGTATTTAAACAATTTACAAATTGTGATTGTAATTCAAAACTAATGCGGAAGTACAAATACCAACACTTAACTATCATACAACACCTATCTAAGGTTGCTAAGTGGTTCCCATAAACCAATAAAGCAGAAATACTCAATGACACATCTTCCAAACCAGAGTATGTCTCGGTTTACTCAGAACTAGGCGTGATCTACACATCAAAAAATTATTATTTTTTAGTATGTTAAACTAGACTCTTCTAGCTTTCGAACTAGGTATCACACACCTCAATTGGATTTCTCTAGCTCCGGATATAACCGTTTGAAGTCGGACAAGCAAAAATGTCAACAGACTCAAAACAAAAGAACAGTAACCAAAATGCCACTGTTCACCAAGTTTTTTACCCAAATATCACACGAACAGTGTTATTTCCCAATATGCCACGTGGGCAAGTTCGCTGGGTACTGTAGCGAACTCAGTTTGCTAACGTGTCACGTTTATATTGGACACCGAGTTCGCTACATGGGGTAGCGAACTTGGTTGCAATACATAAAAAAGTATACATTCCAACCAAGTTCGCTACCCCAAGTAGCAAACTTGGCACTTGGTGTCCACTAGAAACGTGACACGTCAGCAAACCAAGTTCGCTATAGTGCCCAGCGAACTTGCCCACGTGGCATATTGGGAAATAACATTGTTTGCGTGGCATTTGGGTAAAAAACTTAGTGAACAGTGACATTTTGGCCAGTGTTCCCAAAACAAAGCACCCAACATCCCTCACTATTTTTACAATTTCCAACAATCTACAAGTCAATTTGCTCTTAAATTTTTATATGTTGTAGAGGACACCTAGATCTTGAATTTGATAGGTATAAGCTTAATTTGGATAAGAAATGAGGGAGATAATGAATTTTAAAGGTACCAACCCAAGAGCTGGTCCAGAACACCAGTTTTGGGCAGTCTCCACTCATTTTGGAACACAAGATGTTATACCACTCGAAATGACACTAAATTTTAGAACAATATAATTGATATCCTAAGCTTTAAGATGAAGTATGTCAAGTCCCAATTGGACATTTGTGGAGGGAGATATGGTCTCCCAAAATTAGGTAAAAATCTGACCAATTCCTTAAAAATTTCAATGGCATCTCCTTTGTTTTATTAACTAATCCCACTTATACAAGTGTGTTCCAATTTCTTAAAAAGGTACCTAATTAACCAAAGGGTGGCACACAAAGGCTCAACAAACCTTGGTGCTCTTACAACCCCCAATGTACAACAATTAAGATCATTACTTAGTATCTAAGGTATTATCCATAATTATTTGTATTACAAGCTACTATCCATTTCATTCACATTATTTCATTTTCAT